ACTAAGTGGTAAGAAGTTGTGTGTTAGTTATAGATCTAGATGTCTAGTCTAGATCTTATGCTCTAGATGTATATGATTAATCACTATCTATTTTTTTTAACGTTAGATCTAGATCTACATATTTTATGTTATTACAATAAATTTAAATCTAGTTTGCCAGACTAAATCACAAATTCTTAGAAAAATAAAAGTTATCGTAAACCAAAAATTCCCAAAATTCTATTGAAAATCGGATTTTCCCAAATGCCAAATGTTTTGTTTTCATTACATTTTCTTCACTTACATTAAAAACATTGATTTTATTTTCGGGTAACTTCTGCTAGGCTATGATGATTTATATTTTTGTATCTAGAATAGAGTTTAGTAAATCATAGTAGAATCTATTGGTGTTCTAGTTTTTTAGTTAGACCTATAAAAAATATAAATAAAATAAATAGTAGGCCTAGACGGCAGCTTCTATAATTTTTATTTTTTTAAATAAATAGAATTAGAAATTAGATTAGGACTGATTACTAGTATTAGTGATTAGGATTAGGTCATTAACTCATTACTCATTAGTTAAGCCTAGTCATAGTAAGTTATGACTAATCACTCAGACTGTCTCAGGGTAAGGACTAAGACTCTAAGAGTAGATCTACTACTAGAAAATCTAGTACTGTGAGTGTAGTGTACTAGTGACAGTGTAGTTCAGTACTGTAATTAATTGGTAATAGGCCTAGATCTAGAATTAAATAGGCCTTATTAGTATTACTTTAGTAAGTTATTAGTATAGAAATAGAATCTATTATACATTTTTAATAGATTAGATTAGACTTAGTTTAGTAAAGTTTAGTTACATTATTGGATGTAGGCAGGGGCATAGCGAGGGGGGGGGGCGGGGGTGCGGACCGCACCGGGTGACACCATTTAGGGGGGTGACACCAAGGCAAAAAATAGCAAAATATATAGAGAAAAACTTGAGCGGGGGGGGGTGCAAATCGAAAACTTGAGGGGGGGTGCAAATTGAAAATTTGAATGTTTGTCCCCGGGAAGGGTCGCTACGCCTCTGGGGGGGGGGGGGGGTGACACCATTAAGTGCCACACCGGGTGACACCCGACCTCGCTACGCCACTAGATGTAGGCTAGATTTACTGAATTTACTCAAGATCTAGACTTCTAGGTCCCACTATTTTAAAGTAGGCCTATGCACTGACCTAGCCAAATAATAAAGATTTATTAGGCCTATGTTCATTAATAAGTTATTAACTTAAAAGGGTAAGTTTCTTCACATCATCTCCCCATGAAGATTTTATATTCATTGTTGGTATGGACGATATTTCGAGTTGACCTTTTGTATCCCTAGCATAACAGACTCTCTGCCTGGCCTTAACAAACCTGCAGGCTGGTTGCATTGAGTTAAATATAAACTTAAACTAATTAGTTTGGGTAAACAGTGAGTTAACAGGTTTGTGTTCAGTATCCCAAAACAAAGGCAGGTCCAAGAAAAGAAAAGGGATCAGATACTCTAATGATTATAAGATGATTTATTCAGCACCACAAATTAATTATTGCTATGACCATATATAGACTATAGATAGAAGATGTGTTGCTCAGGCAATACTGCTAATTAATATTGGCAACACTAGTAAAGATTTTAGCCATCATTGACATTACTTTGTTTAACTGGACACATCAAGGAAACAGAAAACAGTGAAAGTCAAGAGAGACTTTGAGGTGCACAGCAGAAAAGCAACTGACAAAGACAGGACTATCTTAGGGGGACTGACGTAAAAATAGGTTGTCACTTGACCTACTTTTTTTAACGTTGTCTTGGTAATGATGGGTGTTGATAATGATGATAACGTGATTCTGTTTTTTTTAATAATGTTTCATGGTCATTTCAGAAATATATACTTAAAATCGTTATTTTTGCTTATTATTCAACGATACCGTCTAGTTTTAACAATGGACGATTAGTGTTTGATGCTAATTTGCCGGTTGTACATTTATTTGGTCTAATCGCTGAGAATATCGAGCAGAACATAATAAAAGTAAGCAAAATGTGAATTGCTGTACTTAATATTGTTCTAAACTTACTGAAAATATATACTAAACTATAGAACATTATAACGCTTTCTACTAAACTGTCATTAATGTTTTAAAATCATGCAGGGTAAAAAAGTCTACCGATTAAATCAGATAAATAATATTTGGTATCAAATTAAAGGTAAATAAATGTAGTTTTTAATTTTTAAAGTCTTCATGAACAATAATGAAGTTCAAAATCTTAAGCAACACCCTACGTAAAAATTGCCAAAGACCAGCAGAAGTAGAGAAAGCTTTCTGTGGCAGTCCCATGTGTCCTGGGCACTAAAGGGAAAAGATGTGTTGGATATGTTTAACCCTTTATTTACCAAATTAAACAATATTGCTTTTGGCACACTCACTTAAAGCATATGTCGAAGGAAATTTTGTTTCATAAATTTTTAATGGCCCAAACATATATTGGTACTTATAAGTACCGTCAGGAATGTAGGACATTTTTTCAAAAAATATGTTTTCAATACAATTTATTAACTAATACATGGCAATCATTATAACAATAATTTTTTTGTAATTTTCACACATAAATACAGCACAAAAGTATATTAAGAGTAGGATTTTTACTGGATTTTCTATCGGAACACATCTTAGACCTCAAACACAGCAAAAGTTGCCAACATGTCACGCTCCCTCATTCTTGTCTGTGGTCTTTCTGGTGTAGCAACGGTTGCCGGACTGAACATGCTTTTGTTGGAAGCTTCTAATAGCTATTACAATGAGCAGCATAAACAAAAAAAAAAAGCCTAGTGATTCAGTACACAACGACTAGTAATACTAGTATAATTGTAGCCTACTAGAATGTTATGACAAGTCTACACTACAGTGTTACGTTCATAAATAGAAGTGATCTCAATGTGTTTAGTATAGCTGTAGTCGCCTACTGTTTTCTGTTTACTGATTAAAATTTACCATATAGATCTATACCTCATCCCTTTCAGACTGAGATGTCAATTATTGACTGCCCTGTTAATTATAACACCTATTCAAATTAAGTGTAGCTCTAAGCAAACCCTAATCTTAAACATATCACCTATACAGATTTTAAATTTAACATAAGCTAAATGTGTAAGTTAATTTATAACACATTACTAGTTGTTTGTTTGGCCTAGCTTAACACTTTATCAAACACAACTTCTAATATACCATAGATATTACACGCATTAACTCAAAAAAGCTTTTGTATTGTGCAAATACACCACCCAGTATAATTGCCACAAATTGCATTCCTAATTTTTTTTAACTTAAACATTGCAAAATTAAATAATGCTTACCCAATCTTCATTTAAACCTAGTATCATACTCATCTTAAATGACTTTAACATCTACTTCTTTTATATCTTCTTCAGCCCAATTTTTATTTCAAAAGGATAAATACTAACAGTCCATAGGGCAAGTGAAGTAGAGTTACCTGTTTCTGTGACCTTGGCAAATGAAGGGATAGTGTGGTCAGCACCATGGCCAGCCATCTCTACTTTTCTTAACATTCCATTGACTTGTAGCCCAAATTTGAACTCGAGACTTTCGGGTTAGCAGTAGCACAAAATAGTAAAGACAGGCTTTATTTAGTAACTGCTGAGAACCTTCTAATGATGGTGTTTAAAGCACTGCACCAATTGTAAAAACTGAATGAAGGTAGAATGCTAACCTACATGGCCTTTACAAATATTTGAAAAATTGAAAACATTTCGAAGCTTCATGCAATTTAGCCAGAAAGTATGCAATGACTTCCCTTTTGTTATAGTCCTTAAGTGTGGTGAAAAATGGATCAAATGGGTGCATGCATTTAGATTTCTAATAAGGACAATAAATCATGAGCGCCCGTCTGCTGACACAACTTTTGCCTTTTATATGTATAGATAGTGTTATGTTGAGATTTTTTTTTTTTAAATGTGCTAACTTTTTATCTTATTTAGAATGAATGAATCTGGAAAGGCCTAGACATTATTTTATTCACTTTAACAAACCAGACCCACTGTCACTTCAATTCTTTACTTTTAGCTTTTGAATGTAGCCATATGTGTTAGATGTTAGTGTAAAAGAATTTGGAAAATATTATTTCATTACCATGGGTAGGCCATCTTCATCTTGGTTATTAATATGTTGGTAGTCTGATTAAGCAATGTCTGTACAATTTTGAACTAGGTATGCCAGACTTCTCTACCATTATGTCATATTAGTAATGATGATTTTTTTTATTTCTGAAAATTTTCCCTAGTGTCAATACTTAAAGTATTACCTTCTGATATGTGAAGATATATAATTTCAAAGACTATTTCTAAGTTCTATTGTGATTGTTTGAAAAAAAAAATTATTTGGCCTTTTGTTGTACAAATGATTGCCTGCAGTTTTCTTGGCTAATAAAACTTTTTTGAATCTTTATTATGTTAAAATGATGTGATATAAAAAAATAACATATAAGTCAGTACAGATCTTCTTCTTCTTCTTCTTCGTTCTTAATTATTAGTGTTGAAGGGGATCGAGATTTATCTGCCAGTGGGTTTGAACTCGAGACTTTGTTCGAATTTATCAACCATGAGCTTTTTTGCCGACTCGACCACGCCTCCAACACAATTAAGCGTTACGTGTCAACTGGTTATGCGCCATTGAGGCCATTGACTCCGATTTCAGCCTGCTTTTCTTTTTGGATTTGCTTCCATAGCCTTTGTCCGACCAAGAACAAACTACAAGGCAGCAGTTGTTTTAATTTTGGAGTTGTCTCTCCTAGAAGAGTGGCTGTCCCCAGCTAACGAGCCTCATCTGCCCGAGGGTTCGAACTCCAGACTTTTCGGTTTAGCAACCATGAGCTTTACCGACTCGACCACGCCGACCCTTCAGTACAGATGATATTGGTTTATTTTTTCATTTGAAAAAAGTTTGGATTTAAATGTTTAAAAGACTTTAAATAAATTTTTATTTATACCCTGAAATAATACTTTCATTTCCGTTTAGATATTTGATTATAATTCTGTATAATTCTTTGATATTTTTCAGTTTTATTGTGAATTACATTTAAAAAAACGGAGGGCCAATTTAAAAAAAAAAATAAGCTAAAATGAAGAATTTATTGTTGATTTGTGGGTTTCCTGAAAGCACTACTGTGAAAGAGCTTGTGCACTATGTCAGTGAAAATTTCAACAGAGATGACATCTTAAACATGTGGATACACCCCAACAGAGAATCAAGAGCTGTTGCATTGTTTAAAAAAGAAATTGGTATTTTCAATCAAAATTACATTATTATTAGTCTAATCAGATATAAGGATTGCATGTTGCAATATAGCATAAGATTTGAGTTTGCCTTTTTAGATAACTTTATAAATTCATTTCATCTTTTTATTTACTTATTCTTAATTATTGAAATTCCCTCTCATTTTACATTTAGATGTTGAGAAATGGAGTAAGATGTATTCAAACAGATCTTTCAATTTTAAAAATAATGAATTAGTTTTGAAAACCACAACACCAACATCAAGTGTTTTTGTTAGAACATTTGAAGCATATTCTAATGAACCTGTGGTGGAACCCATTCTTAAAAAACTGTTTACTGTATCAACAAGAGGTAAAAGTGAAGAGCCAAGTGTAAAAAAACTTGATGAAGATACCTTTGAAATAACATATGAAAGTGGCATGGGTAAGACAAGTCCTTAATTAGCCTGTATTCTAAGCTTTTTTTAACTAAGGGAAATGTTTCTAACTATTTTTCTTATATAATTATTTATTTTACCTTTATTTAGCACGTAGACATTGCTTGCAACTCCCAATACCAAAATGATATACATTTCTTGTGTGAATAAAGTAAAGTTACTGAACTATATTTGGTACATTAACACATTTCTCTACTCCTAGTCTTCTCCTCCCTTCATCCTATTCACACATTTATGTAGTAATATATATATATATATATATATATATATATATATATATATATATATATATATATATATATATATATATATATATATATATATATGTATATATGTATATGTATATATGTATATATATATGTATATGTATATATATATATGTATATATATATATATATGTATATATATATATGTATATATATATATGTATATATATATGTATATATATATGTATATATATATGTATATATATATGTATATATATATGTATATATATATGTATATATACATATGTATATATATATGTATATACATGTATATATATATGTATATATATGTATATACATGTATATATATATATATATATATGTATATATATGTATATATATATATGTATATACATATATATATACATATATACATACATATATACATATATATATCTATATATATCTATATATATATATATATATATATATATATATATATATATATATATATATATATATATATATATATAAATGCAGTTACATTTATATTATCAGGTTTCAATATTAACGATTGTCTATATGTTTATCCATTCAGTTACACACAGCAGCATCATAAGTGTTAAAATTTTACATGCTATCAGTAATTTTAACCATTTTTAGAGCATCAATTTAACAATCACAAATTGAAATTCACAGAAATATGTAGGTTTACTATGTAGTTTTTTTTTTAATTTGATTTGAAAAAAAAAAAATCTCTTCTCTCTTTTCCAGATACTGTGTTGCATGTTTGTGAACTAGGGAAGAAAGACCATGGAAAAAAGTTTTCATTGTGTCCATATTTTCCTTGTTTCCGATTAGAATCTGAAAATTTTTCAGAAACATTTTTTGACATACCTGTGGATTTATCTTTTATAAGATTATTTCTAGATTCACTGAAGTTTGAAGATGCTCTAAAAATAAAGGAGATAAATTATGAAGTTATTAAAAATGACAACAAATGGACAGTTAAGTTCAGAGGACCAGTAGATGCTCTACATTGGATTAAAAATAAACTAAATTTGACAATAATGGACTTGCAGGTAAAATTTTCCAACATCTCATTAAATAAATTTTCAAAAAAGGTCAATAGTATTTTTATTTATTATAGTTATTTATTATTCAAAACCAATTTATTTATAGCTAACAAAAGCAGTAATGGTTTATTTTGTATTATTTAAATGTTAGTTTTACGAAGTCAAAGATCATTTTAGAAAAATTGCATAGATGCTACAACTTTGAAAAGTATGATAAGTGGGAACCTTAGATCTGCTAGCTCTACAATGACAATGATAATTGAAAAAGAGATCCTATTTCTTCTATGCTTACTCCCAGTATGTTCCAGTCAGAGAGGAAATGTATGAGTATGGCCAAATAAAGATAACAAAAAAAGATTAACCCTTTAACGCCAACTGTCGTGAAAAAGTGACATACCAATTTTGCGCTTAGCATATGCGCATAGGTATATTTATCCTACTGCTGCTGGTCGTTATGTATTGGGTACATCCATACAGGCATATCTGTACCAATGGTCACGTTGTCAAAATTTATGACATCACACTCTCTTGACTCATGCGCATTTTAAATTTTTTGACGTAGTGAATTCAGCCTACTTACATTGAATATTATTACCAAATAGGTGGTCTATTTTTACTATTAATATTAATTAATATTAATAGCTTTATTATTCACTCTTTTATGTACATAAACAGTATAAATCACATATGAGAATAATTTAGAAAGTTATCTTTTGTTTATGGTTTGTCGCGTTTTCACAACAACAGGCAACAAGACATAAAATTGTACTTTGGTGCCTAGCAGGTATAGCGAAATACGATGCCTTGCCAAGCTGTAATTTCTTCAAGTATGATTATAAATAAGTAAGGATTTACATAATAGTCCTAGCCTATATATAAAAGGGCACTTTAGAACGTTACGGTCCATGTGGTAGGTGAAGTAGAGTTCACCTGTTTCATTGACCTTGCCATACGGAGAGAGAGCAATACGGGAATAATGTGATCATGCTGCTGGGTACAATATAACAAATTTAGCTTTGAAATGGCATTGTAAAATATTAGGAGAACATAAAAAACAAATAGACAACAATGGACCACTATCCTGGATATCACCAAAGAAAGGTCTTCACGGTAACCTTGACAATAGACACTGTGCATAGACCTACACCTCTTAATAAATACAGTAAGGTTGAATACTGACAAAAATGCTCATTGCAGTGCTTTTGAATACCCACATTAGTGGCATTATACTGGCATTTATACCAACAGCAGTGTTAATGAGTACCCACATCTTTAGCACTGAGTGTCAACTAAGTACCCACAACAATGATGCTGAGTACCCACTGCTAAGGCTGAATACACCCAGCAATGTTATCGATTACCAACAGCGCCAGCGCTGAGTGCCCACAGCAGTGACACCAAGCACCGACTGCAGTAACACTGAGTACCCACAGCTTCAGCACTGAGTACACGTGGCTTCAACACTCAGTAACCACTGTTTCAGCACTGAGTACCCATAGCAGTAGCAATATGTAGCTACAGCACTGTCGTTAGTAATCCATAGCAGTATCATTTGAGTACAACAGCAGTAGCATGTAGTACCAAAATCCGAAAAATTGGGTACCATAAAAAATAGCAGTGAGTACCTACACCAGTTGCACTGAGTACCCACAGCAGTGACACTAAGTACCCACAGCAGCTGCATTGAGCATGGAAGACTATACAACAGCTGAACACTGTCATTATTTGTCAGTATTTATTTACGTGCTTTGTGTGTATAGTAAATATTGGTCGAATGTAAAATATGCGTCTTTACTAGTTGACCTTGAATAAGAGTTCATGAAAAGGGCATAACCAGGGACAACTAAGGCTCTACACATTTACAGAAGTCCTTTCTTATGTAGTGTGTAACTGTAGTGTAGTAGAACCACAATAGCCATGCTTCAAAATACCCATTCATAGAAGTTAGACAGTGAACAGGTGGAGAAGAGTTATGTAACTCTATGTCTGAGCTAATAAACTATAGTTTTCATGAATTCTACATCTCCTCGCGTGTCCATATGTTTAGTTTGTGATATTCTATTGTTTGTGCATGGATATTTAGAGAATCATGTGTCAGTAAAAAATAGTAGATGACCGGGACAATTTTTTTTTTTAATTACTGTTTATTATTGCCGGATGTCACAAATTTGTGACCTACCGTAATTAGCATTAAAAAAGTCCAAGTTTAAAAACAACAATATACCTCAAATTCAGTTTCAGTATGATGAGAGAAAATCAGAACAAATAATTTTTTACATGCTTGGAACATAATTCAGGCATTAAAGTGTATTAGGTTTTTATTTATACTTTAATAACTTTAAATCACATTATTGCTTTTTTAATTACATACATACATACATATAAATGTACAAGATGTATAACAAATTGAAATGTAAAGAGTATATCTAATATGTGAAAAGAAGACTACAATTAATTATCTTTGGCCTTCATAAGTATCTTATTTCTTTAATCTAATTTAAAAAATTGGATCGTCTGTGTACTTTTATTAAAGTTTTACTAAACAGGGTCAACTCCTTGCATTAGTGCCTGTTTATGTGCCAGCATAGGACTACTAGCCCCCCCCTCCTCTGCCCCCATTCTTCCCTAGCTACACCAGTGAATATGATTCAACACTTATTAAACCATTAACTTTAATTCTGAAATCTTTTTTTTTTGTATAAACCTTAATTTCAGTCTTCAGGAGTAGAAAAAGAATTCTTAAACCTTGAAAAAGTGGAGTGTGTACTAAATCAGCATTTAGCAATTTCTGGATTTTGCCTCTTCATACCTGAAGAAAATGATATCATCAATGTTGAATGTGAAAAAAATAAATGCAAGGTATGTCACATTTTTTTTTAAATGTGTTTTTGCCTGCACTAACATATTGTAAAAAGTTTAAAGTGAAAAATAATTTTGTATTATTTACTATTATCTTTTAACTATTGTAACCCCCATATGCTGATTTATGGTACAAAGTGAATCAGGACTGAAAAGACTCTTTATGGTTTTTATTTTCTCTCTTAACTAACTTCAGTAACATTGCATCAGCTCTTTAATAATACAAATACATAAATGTTTTTTTTCTTTTTGTACTTGGCAATTGTACTTCTGATCAATTTAATGTTCGACTTGGTATTTCAGATGTCTCTACACGATTTTATATCCTCTCTTATTCTAAAGGAAGAAATTTCAACACCCTCAAATTATTTTAGTAAATCTAAAGAATGGATTGATTTCCAGCAAAATATAAACAAAGCTAGTAACACTTATCATGTTTTTGAAAGCCCCTTTTTAGTTACTTTTCTTTTTTTCTCATTTTCGGAAAATAATTTTGAAACAATAGTAAATGGAATAAAGGCAATAATACATCAATCTACATTTCAAAATACCAGCACATCATCACCTCAACATAAGGTTAAAAGTATTTATAAGGAAAAAGTTGTGAGTGAAAAGTACTCATACTTTCACCTTCCAAAAGAAGTTTTTCTTTGGCTATTTAAAACTTTGAATTTAAAACATGCTGCTGAGGAAAGATTTCCAGCTTTAACTGTAAACTTGGAAGAGAATTACTTTGAAGTTGTTTACCAAGGAGAAAAAATTAATGCTGATAGAATAGTTAGATCTATTGAAGCACATTGCAAAAAGGTAATTATATTATTTATCATAAATCTATACCTTGTATTTATGTTTTACATTAAGACATTTTTTATAAATGGGGTATGGTTGAATTAGCTGTGAAAAAAACAAAAGTATAAACATTTAAAATAAGAAAGCAAGTTCATTTTATTTAAAAGCTATTTATTATAAAGGTTTTTCATGTGTTTTTTTTTTACTTTTAAGACATTTGTTCTCAATTGATGAAGTCGACACCAAACATGACTAAAAATATTTGCTTTGAAACCCAATCAGCAGCTTACAATCTCTAAAAAAAACAATTATCTGCCTCTCTTAGCCTGTAGTCAACTTTTGAGCAAGAAATCAACCAGCAGTGACAAACAAGGGAACAGGGCATTCCCCCCCCCCCCCCCCTGTCAACCCCCCCCCCCCCCCTACAGGGTTATGGTTAGGCTTAAAACAATGTCTAGCATTGGTTTTGGTTTTGTGTTAAGTTTTAGGCTAAGGTGGATGCTTAGGTTTTGGTCTTTTTCTTCAGGTTAGGATTAAAGTAGTATATAGGTATAGAATTCTAATAAGAGTTAGGATTCTAACTTGAGGAGGGGGGGGGGGGATTGACAGGGGGGTAATTGACAGCGGGTTAATTGCTCTGGGGGGTAAATTTGGGGGGGGGGAATGTCCGGGAAGTAATTTCCAGGGGGTAATGTCCTGTAGCCGACAAACAACTCACTGTTGTCGGTTAACTGAACAAGCAATCGCTAGTATTTAATCTTATTTCCCTTTTTATAAATGTATTAAGTGATTTTTTTTTTAAATTAAAAATTAGATATACTTGCATTGTCTTCAGAGAAAGTTTGAATAAGATCCCTGCATGGGGTTAAAATTTAGTTAAAAGATTTGCCTGGAACCCACAAAAGAACAGACAGATAGTGTAAACTAAATAAAAATGTATAAAAAATAGTACACTTTCAATATGAAAAAAAAAAATTTAATTTCTCCTTACTCTGGATTAAAACTCTATTTATGAAACATTTTTTTCACATACTTTATAGTAAGAACAATGACAAAAGTCAGGTAGTGCTACATAAATTTTTTTATTAAATTTTTTTTTAAATATATCGTCAACATTAGTTTTAAGCATAAATAACTATTTTATCTGCACACTTTTACAGAATATATTAAATGAAAAATAATTGAACTTTCTTAGAAAAAAATCATAATTATAACTTTAGGTGGAGGAAGAAATGCTGCAGTATCTGGGAAATATCAAAATACAGGATATTGTGAAGTCATATGTGGATACTTCTGAATGGCAAATAATGCTAAAGGATACAGGAGAATTCCCAATTTTATTTGTTATAAGCTTAAAATACAAGAAGCAGGTAATTATTTCTGTTAAATAATTTTTATTAAACTGAATTTATAAAAAAAATGTCAGGATTTAATAACCTTTTCCAATTAACATCCCTATATTAAAGGTAGAGTTGTGGTGGTTTCTGTTTTAGACTAGCATATGACCTTCTCCAAACAACTCTTTCAAGTTTCACAAAGATTAAACTAAATATGTTAATGTTACATTTGAAGAAAACTCTGTCATTTGCAATTTTACATTGATTAATTCAGCCCTAAATCTCTACGTTCACTTCCTAACAATCAAAATATTCATTCTTTTATTAAAAAATGTTTTTTTTTGCTTAACTATAATTTAAGATATATTTATGAAAAAAAGTTGGCCAATTTCAGGTCATTGCAGCTGAGAAAGAAAAATAATATTTTAAATTCTTTATTATTCCTAAAATGAAATAGTGGCTAATGCTATTTAAATAGAGTAGAACTATGTATATGAACCTATGAGTTGTAAATTTTGTTTGAAGAATGTATTTAATTGAGAAAAATGTTTACTACATTAAATTGTAATTTGTAAAATTTGCTTATTTGAATTACAGATGACATTTGATGAATTTTTGTCTCAGCTTTTTTTCAAAGAGAAATGCAGCTCATTTCACTGTGAAAATGTTTCAAACCAAAGTGACTGGATAACATTTGTTAAAACTATTTATGATGATTTCCCCTTAATACATGTATCAGTTGATAAGCTAAATGTGACACTCTATACAGTCTCAGAAAACAAAGATAAAGCGTTACTTGCTGTTGAAAAAATTAATAAGTTCATTGAAATGAAAAATTTAAGCTCAGAAAATGCTAAACAGCATGTTGACATTTTTCCTGACTACTCTGATTTTAAAAACAAGCTCAGTTTAAATGCTACAAACCTATCACAACAGAGTGAACATGCTACACAAGTGTTGAACAGCTCAGAAGAGGATTTTTATTCCAAAAGAACTATAATACCATCTCAAGAAACTTTCTTTTTTGAACTTATTCCACATGAGTATAAATATAGCCAAGTTGCTTTAAAAAATAAATTGGCAAAAATTCAACAAAAACATCAACACCTTTGCTCAGAAATCAAATTAACTGATGAAAAAATTAAAATTACATGTGAACCTGAATGTAGGAACAAGATATTTGATGATTTGAAAGATGATTTTAAAAGTATGTACCACCAGGTTAAATGCATTGAACATCCTGGTATTCAAAATTTCATTGGATCATTAGTAGGTCAAATGTTAGTTGAACAGTTAAGTAATAAATTTAAGTGTGTAATAGAGATCCTGGCTACAGAAGATCAACAAGCTAGTAAAGTAGAAGATTTACATAACACAGTTAGACCTGACTACAGTGTTATTTTACTTCACACAGCAAGATTTGAAGGATTTAATATTCACCTCGTTCAGGGTAAAACAGAAAACATGGATGTAAACGTGAAAGTTAAGTTCAAACCAACAACTGCAGGTAATCTTGATGTTCCTAATTATTACTTATTTTTACGTTAATTTTAACTTTTTTTTAAACTATAATGTTAGGGGTCATCCATTTATGACGTCCACAAAAATTTGGGATTTTAGACACCCCCACCCCCATTAAATTTTGTAATTTAAAAAAATTAAAACTAAATATGGTAGTAAATAAAATGAATATTTTCTTTATAAATACCAGTCTATATACAATCTATCAGATTTTTAAAAATGGCTCTTATGAGAAGAGCCAGGCTTTAATATAAGCATGCTTTTTTAAATTGAGCTTTTAACTTCCCATCAATATAGCATACATATAAATATATAAACACAGACATACATATGTACATACATATATATACATATATGTATATATATATATATGTATATATATATATATATATATATATATATATATATATATATATATATATATATATATATATATATATATATATATATATATATATATATATATATATATATATATATATATATATATATATATATATATATATATATATATATATATATATGTTTTTATAATTATGATTTTCTAATCAACAGAAAAATCAACTATAACCTCAAAATATGAAAACCCATATCGTTATTTTGATATTTCTCTACCCGAGTGGAAGATTCATCAAGGAAACCAGAAACATTTGACAGAGCTTAGAACTAGTTTGAGAAAAAGTGTTAAAGACCTACTTTTGAAGACTGAAGATGTGACATGCTTCGCATTTTCAACAGAATTGATACAAGAATCCAATTTTCCATTTCCTCTAGACACAGTGGCTGAAATACTTATTTCTGAACTTTATTCTAAGTTTTCCAAATTAAATCGGCCTACTGCATCAAAATCTTCCCCGACTATAAATATTTACATTTGTGAATCGAAACGTGAAGCTGTGTTTAAAGCTTGCACTTATTTTATAAATAATTTTTTCGGAAAAATTGAACAACCTGATCAGGAAGCATGGCACAAAGTGTGCTCATATGGTATGTATATAGACATTATATTTGCATTTGCTAATATATTTTCAGTATTTATTTCAAAGATTGACTTTTCAAGTTTGATATTTTTAAATTAAAAAAAAATTTGCTGATAATGAAACTTAATCTTAAATTTTAAAAATAGAAATTTATTTAAAGTATAAATGAAGATAGGGACGTGTGGTCTAGTAGTAGAGAGCTGGACTGTTAACCCGAAAGTCTCGAGTTCGAATCCTGGTTCAAGTCTGTAGAATGCCCCTGAGTCCACCCAACTCTGATGGGTACCTAACTCATGTTAGGGAAAGTAAAGGCAGCTGGGCATAGTGCTGACCACACTATCTCTTCATATGCCGAGGTTACAGAAACAAGTGAACTCTACTTCACTTGCCATATAGATCGTCAGGTTTGAAAAAGGAACTCTACTTTTTACTTATTAATGAAGGTGCATTAGAAATCTAAACACTTAGAGCTCTAACATATTTTTGCATTATATTCCCTCAGCCCTGCATTTCTCATTTTTTTTTTATAATGACATGCAGATATTTATTTAATCTGAATTAAATAAAGATGTAGAAAAACTGAAGTTATGTGCCAGTAGCAGCAATTGATCAAAAAACATTTTAATGAAGGTCTGCATCTAAATATATCTAAATGTCAATCCATAATTACTCGCTGTGTAATATGTCCCGATTCACTTTCTAAATATTATGACCTTTAATCAGTTTATAGACGTCTGACTGTTTAGCAGACTCATCTGATTTTAATACAACTTATAGTTAATTATATCTTTGTTTGTAGAGATTTTTGTGAGTTAGAGTTAGGGAACACGGATACAAGGGAAGTGAACTGTAAAATGGAAATGTAGCTTACATGACTAGGCTATTAAAGTTAAAACCTAGTTTGGTCAATAATTAGCTTGTTTATTATTTTTGTAATATATGCCTATTTATTTGTTAAAAATTGTTTTTGTATTCTTTATTTTATATTTATTGTTACCCATGAATTTGTTTGCTCTTTAAATTTGGTAATAATTTGATGATTGATAGAGTTAGAGCCGAAATACAGTGAAATTCTGAATCTTACTATTACACTTTTCTTCAAACTTTCAGAATGGTTTTGTTTGTTGCAGACTATCTAAATAATTTTACACTGCTAAATGTGTTATTGATTGCATTTTCTCTTATGCTATTTATTATTTAAAAAATTAGCCTGCAACTTGTTTTAACAGATACATTGAAAATTATATTGGTGTTTGCAGATACCAGCAAGTATGTTGATTATCGTCAAAAGCAAATAGTAGTCAATGTGTCTTCTTATAGTCCTATATATGATGTAAGTATACAATTAAAAAGGGTAAACTCTAAAACAAATTGATTCTTTTGAATTTTCTTGTAATAATTGAGTTTATTGTAATGACAGTTTTTAAATATCTGTTTATTATTCCAACTTATTACCTTTGTTTTGCTTCACAGGGACAAAAGGCTTTATTCTGCTACCCTATTGAACCAGATTTAAATGTTTACAGCTGCCCTGCTAAAAGAGAGTTTCTTTTTAATGAAAGTAAGATGAAAAATTCACTAAGAAAAATTCAGAATGAAAATCCAGAAGGACTAAGTATTGGAGATTGGAAATTTGTGAAATGCTTTTATAGAGATAGAGATGCTATAATTTATTGCTGTTCATCTTGGGGAGCAGACTGTGAACAGGTATAGTAACATTTTACTAAATTATTTAACAAAAATGCAGGTTTTAATTTTTTTTTGGAATAGAGATAAGCAGTTGCTATCATATTCTAAACCACCTCCAAGCTTTCTCACTTTATAAAGTGATATAAAACTGAATGTACAATATGCAAAGTTGAATCATTCAATTATTGATATTTGTTTTACTTGTTTTAAAAATAATTGTTTTAAATTATTCATTAAAACTTCAATATCTACACAATCATATCTTTTATTATACAGTGTAATTTAATACAGTTGATAAAGAAAAGTGTAACTGACGTTTTAATGAACATCTCTATTAAACCTCGATGATAAAGTATGAAAAAGTATAATTAGTTTCTATAAAGGTAACTTTAAATGCAAATTACCATTGGGAGGAACATTTTTTTTCCATCAAATGGTGGTGTTTGTATAACTTAATTCATTCGCATGTGGCTCATTTTACAGCTTAAAACTATTAAGATTTTCGTTTAATTTGCAGACAATCAAACTGTCTATTGAAGGATGTAATTCAGCTTCAAAAGGCTATAATACTGTTTACATAATACCACCTGGACTTCACATTTCACCTTCATTTCCTAAACAATTCTTAGCTCAAAAAGTGTTTAAAGAACTAGATAACCTGATACTGAATGGTAAAATAGAGAAAGGGAAAAAAATTATATTTGTTGTACATAATTCAGAATATAGAAAAGTAAGTATTCTATTTTTTGGTAACAATTTGCTATATTTTAAAACTTTAAAATTACATCTCTTGATATAGATACAGATAAAAAACCATTTTAAATTTGTTTTCTTTTGACAATATACAAGCGAATGAACCCTTTTTAAAAACTTACAGTGTGCACTCTCTATGATAAAACTTTCTGTTTGTTTTTATGTAGGAGCATTATAAACCAGATCCATACATATTAATCCCACAAGATTTTGTCATTTATTTAAAACAAAATGAACAATTCATTATGGAAATTTCTTAAAGCATTCATTAAACATTAAACATTAGATCTTAAAAATTTTACTTTTAATTGGATTTTTATCCTTTTTTTCAAAGATAAAAATTAATTTTATGTAGTATGTAGTAAATAAACTGCACCTATATTTCATATGAGAATTATTTTATATTTTTAATAGCTCTTTGAAAAAGAAATACAAAGCCGCTACACATCAGAAAAAGAACACAAAAAGCCATCTCCTGATACACTACCATTATTGAAACGTGAGAAAATAATTTTATTAAAATATTTAAAATATAATTTTTCTTCTTTTTATTAGCTTTTACTTTATTTGCAATGTCTATCATGTCTGCCTGTGTATGGGGGTGTCAGTTCAGACATAAACCATGCATCATTAACCTGCTGGCTAAACCCTGTTGCAAATACCCACTGAACATGGTTAAAAAAATATAGAAAAAACAGTATTGTTATAAATAAATGAGTGTATTTGTTCTAAATTAATTTATGTAAAATACACATCTTAAATAAAGTCAATGAATTTTTAAATATTTGGATGACAAAAACTCATATTGGACTGGAAACTTCTTTTGTCTTCTGCACATATGTGCATATTCTACTTATTGTGTGAACACTAGCCATGATGTTGTGGTTTGCCAATATTGTAGTCCTAGAAAAATCTACAACCACTGAGCTTTGTGGAAAGTTCCTGATGTTTATTCAAAGCAAATCTTAACACCAGATTAAATTCACTGTCAGGCTGGTAATGCCGTTTGGGCCAGAGTCTTGGATTTTTTTGGAAATGTTTTGGCATTGGTGGAAAAATACCTTTTTACCTCACATTCCAGAACTACCCTGTCTACACTTTTTTCATAACCATTTCAAAATACAGGGATCACATCAGCGCAATGCCCAGGTACTTTTTTTCCCTAACATGAATCAGGTACCCATCAAAGATTGGTTGACTCAGAAACATCAGAAAGTCTTGAGCCCTTTATCAAAACTCTGAACTTCTGTGTTAGCAGTTGTAAGCTCTACTATTCAATCACACCATCCCCAAAATTTGAAGTTACCACTTCAAATTACTTGAGGTTGCCATTAGTTCCAAACAAAACCATGTTACAATTTCACTCTAAACCAGAATGGTGCAATATAAGTTGTTGTCCAATGTTTGTCACTTGATAATGATTTGGAATAATGATTCATTAACATTCCTTGATCAAGCAAGGGGTGTTTCAATTCTTGGAGTTTAGACTCAGATATTAAATCAACAAGCAGCTTGGCTTTGGTATCTCTACAAATCATACTCATGGACTGAGTGGAGATTTGGCGAGTGTTGCTTTTGATTCTGCCAGCCTTTTTATCTGCTGCTTTGCTTGGTACACTTCAAGTTGAGACATTCATCTGGTCCATGTGAATGTTCATTGCAACATCCATCAATTAGTTCTCTGTGAATCTTTGTTTTATCTTTGCGTATTGTTTTACCTTTTTTCACACTCAAATGACACAACATCTTTGGCCAAATATTTTTTATTTACTTAAACATGACCTCTATTGGATTGTACAAACCCTCATGCACATATTGGATTAGACATTCTTGTAGAGGAATAAATTTATGCCAAGGTGGATATTAAGCAAGTATCAGCTTTAGAAAATAACCTTTATTTGTATTTTTAAACTTATTGTTTCATCTTGCCTTTAACCTTTATGTCTCCAACAGATTTTAATGTTGCAAATCTATTGTGTGATCAAAAACACTAATTTTTTAAAAATTAAAATAGTCAACAATACTATATAGAAAATCAAAGTCCAGGGCATTAATGATTATTTCCAAGAGATGTGGATGTTTTAGATTATCTAATTAGATAGGAAATTAGTCATTTTACATTAATTTCAACGTTACAACATTCAATAAAGAAAAGTGAGATAACTTGATTAAATAGTATTGATCACTCATTGGGTCTAATAGCAAATATTTCTAGTTGTTTCAATTCATATTGGAAAGAATAATTAATAAGGTACTAATTGTTTTTAAAAATCTTAATATCGAATTACTATTTTAATTTTAAAAATTTCAAATAACTAAAAAAATATATTAATAAAAACAAATATAAAAATCCTATAAAATAATATGTTTTTAAATGCACAAAACATAATATAAAAAATATTTTTTTAAATATTACAATAAGATGAAATTTAATGTTCCTTTACTTAGCTGACTGATTTCATAATTTGTTTACTATTGGTAACTTTACAAGCAAGAAAGTAACTTTAAATAGTCTGACCCAATGTTTATTATGACATGTGTTATTGTTAATTTTACAGCAAACAGTAAAAACCCTCAGATTCTTCAGAGTGTAGTGAAAGGGACTTTGGTATCTTTCAGCAGTCAGTGGATGGATAATATTTCTAAAGCAAGGGATGCATTAGACAATGAATTGACAGAAATGATGAGAAATAATAAACAGATTTATCCTCTAGATGACCTGCAAACAATTAAGTTTGAGGTATATTTTATGTTAATTTATGTTTTGGCATAAATTTTTATTTTTCCTGTGTTTTCTCAGGTAAATAATATCTAAGAATGACATTTTTAAATTTTATTTTGTTTAATGTTTTTGTGTGTTTCGAATACCTTTTTCTTATGCACATAGGACTGGCTATTATCATGAAAAAGAACAAAATATAAACATATTTACTCTTTACTTACATTGTGCTCTAACCATTCATTTACATGTATATATCTTTAACAGATAAGCATACCTATTTTTGAGCAGATTGTAGCACTACTATACATGCATTATATTTTTTTTAAATAATGGTGGCATTATTTAAACTATAATAAATTAACTGATTATATATATACTGTGTCTGCTAATAAGCTTCCTAAATGCTTTTATTATTGGTTTTTTTCTTGAATTTTTTCAAAAAGTTTTTATTTTAGCTTAAAATTACATGGATTTAAATTAACTTAAAATTCCTATGTGTTAAAATTAATCCAAAGCAATTATATAGTAAGGGCAGTGACAGTTTAAATTGTGTGTCAAAAATTGTGTTCAATATAGTTGAAATAACAGATGAAGTAAATACATGTTACATGCTGGGAATATTGGGTAAAGCTGGTAAAATAAAAACAATTAGCTAAACGAATTCAATTTTGACGTTAACTATAGTTAATATATTAAAGAGTTAATAAAAAACCCATACAATCATAAATACTTTACTGATTTCTTAGAATCAAACTTATTTGTAGAAACATCTTGTATTAAAATTAATTCAATTACAAAGACAACAGAGTGCCAGAGAGCTTCTAAAGGTGCCAATTCCAAAAGGGGTGTGTCAGATGGTGTAATATTTTCTGGTTTTTACTCTTCCCTATAATTATTGCTCAATAAGTAGCTGCCTCTTCTGTTTTATATATTGCCAGTGAGTCCATAGTGTTGGTTTTTTTTTCTCTTCAAAGATGGTTTTATAACCTAATAAAAATCTTCCTATAATTGTATTTCTGAAGAGCAACAAATGAATCATTAGGAAATTTATTCTTTATTTTATTCTCTGCATTTCTTTACCTCATTTTATTTCTCTATCAGCTTATAGTATAGCCTCGGCAACCTGAGATGTTCAGATGAAGAAAAAAAACAGTATTAATTGACATTGAATTATTAGTTTAAAAAATCAAAACACATTTCTCAGAGAATGTAAATAGTGAACAGATACACAACTAGGTATTACTGTAAATATTTTGAAAAATAATGAAATTTACTTGGCTTTTTTTTTTCAGGAGAATATTAAAAAATGTGAACAACTTGATGTTTACTTTACATTAGAAAAACATTATGAAAGAGTGAAAACAACTCACAGCACCAGAGGAAAAATTACAAAACATGACTGCAAACTCACTGGATCAGTTCTTACTGTTTTTGGATTGAATAAGGACATAGTTTTGTGCTTTAAAGTTCAGATGTTGGAATTTTAAAGTGTAATAAAGTGTTGTTTTCGTTTCTATTCTGCTGCATGAATAAGTACTTGAAAATGGTTTAAATAAAAAAGGAAATCATAACAACTTAGATATAATTTTTTAAATGAGGCTCAACCTTAGTAAAACTAAAGAAAAGACTAGTAAACTAGTAATATTTTTATAAACATTTTTAAAAACTTGTATTACTTAAACTCCTTTCTGAAAATTATCTGGCTTTTTAACTATTTAGCATCATGATCAACAACAAAAATTTAGATTAAATACTTGACATATAAGCATACATTTTGTTGATCCTCCTGCTTCATTTGGTACCTTTTATAATAAAGTTATAACACAACTGAATATAATGCTAACTAGAATTAGCTTTATGTAATTCATCCCTCAAAATAGATTTTACTTTATTAACAAACAGGATTCAGTTAATACCCAAGACTTTTTTTTTTCTAAAAATTGTTTTTGCAGTAGTGAATATTAACTCCTTGTACATATCATAATATCAAGAGCAGAACTACAATACTGTCAGACTCTGCAATGCCGAGGTGCCCAGGCCATTTGGGGGGGGGGGGGGGGTCAACCAAAAAAACAAAATAATAAAATTTTTTGTTTTTGATTGTTCTACAGTTACTAACACACTGTTGTATAAACAAAAAATAATACATGAGCTGTAGTGTTAAAGATTAAAAATCTTTAAACCACTTCCATGACTTATAGCTCCTTTTTAAATTGTCTAATAGGGGTGCCGAAAAAGCTAATTTTAATAGTTTTGTACTAAGCAAATTAAAAAGCTATTTTTCGTCTCTTTAATATTATTAAATTAAGGCATACTAAAGAATGAAACAGCTATAAAAAGGAAGGTATTCAAAACTATTATTATAAATGCAAAAAAAAAAAACATTAGGGAAATCATAACACATATCGAACCTCTGTGTTTAGTTTTGACCAGCTTGCCAGATTTGAAGTTTCTCTTTTCACAATTTTTAGCGGGTAAATGAGATAAAGACGTTTTTAAAACAATTATTTCAGGCTCGAAATGATTTTATTTATATGTATGTATACAATCTATATTCAGATGTGTGTATAACTTCTTGCCCATGCCACTGTGTTTTGTTTGACTTTCATCAAAATGTATTAAACTTATGTTTTTGTGTACCTGAATGCAAATGTATCCTATTAATAATTTTCTTAAATGTTGTATTACACAGCAATAATAGAAATGTCAGTTTCTTGTCTCCTTTTTACTTTCTCGTATATACGAAGTATAGAGAAAGTATTGTAATCGTGCACAAAAATCACTTGAAATTTTAACAATTTTCACCGTATTACACCTCAGTCCTTCATCACATCAGAAGTATAGAGGACTTATTTTAATCAGGCAAAAATTATCAATCCAGATTTATCAAAATTAAGAGGTTTTATGCGTAATCCAGTCAGAAAAACTGGGCTTTGCAATTCTGTCCGTATGTCTGTGTGTCTGTCTGTCTGTCTGTCAGTGTGTAAAGACGATAACTTGAGTACCGTTACAGCTAGGTTGATGAAATTTCATATATAAGTATTTTATCAAAATCGTAGATCCGTATCAACTTTTGAGAGATTTCCGATAACCGGAAGTGGTACTTTTTCTACTTTGAAGTTTTCAAAAGCCTATGACTTGAGTACTATTTCAGATAGATAAATGAAATTTCACATGTAAGTAAAAGATTTAATTCTCTACCTTCTGTTAAATTTTGAGTAATTTCTGTTGACCAGAAGTAGTAATTTACGCTACTTCCGATTTCTCAAAAAACTAATGTAAATTTTTAAAGTACTAATAATATTGCGCACTATTATGCACTTTTTTATTTGGCGTTCGCTTGGTGTGCAATTTTTTTGTCTACGAGATTTTATTCTATTTTTAAAACTTTAAGTATTTAAAATGGATTAAAAATCATGTCTATAGCCCGAGCTCCCATCCCCTGTTGTTTTATATAAGAATATTCGAGAAAGTTTAGGGGAGATCACTCCCGGTTTATTTTGTTATTGTTTTAAAAATATTCTTTTGTCTTAAGATATTTTGTAAATGCTGTTTCTACAAAGACTTAAAGAGATTTGCTTATAAGATAGAAATGAATAGTGTTACTATTAATAAAATTAATGAACTCCATTCATTAAACGACAGAAAGCTCAATATAATAACATATTTTTTAGTCAAAATTGTTTCTAGAAAATATTTACTGTAATGCAGAAAATAATATTTCAATATTTTGTAATCTTTTGTAATATTTTCAGTGATTATCAAATTAGTTATTGCTAGAAGTAAAACAAAATCACTGAGTAGAGAAAACTGATTTTAATTTCCTAAATGTTTCTGCACTCACTTTAACTTCTAACTGTTCATTATCTATAATTTAGTTTTTTAGATGGCTCCTTGTTATACATTAATTACACTATTTTTACACTAACTCTAGGGACGGTAATCTTCTTCTTCCTTCTTAATTTCAGTGTTGGAAGGGATACCCTCCAACACAGTTAAGTATACGTGTCAACTGGTTATGCGCCATTGAGGCCATAGACTCCGATTTCAGCCTGCTTTTCTTGGGGACAGTAATAAGTTGTGTTTTATTTGCAAACAATAAATTACATTTTTATATAATATTCTTGTATTATTTGAAGTGCTTCTTTAAACAGATGACTAATTTTGTTTAATACAACTGGATACCAAATAAAGAGTAAAAGGCTGCAGATCATAAAAGCTGTCAAGTTTCTTACAAATGGCAGAGCATGCAACTGCTTACCTCAGATTAAAATCCCTCAGTTTAATGAGCTCTGCTGCGTACCTGACTTTGGCTGGGCATGAAGTTGACTACATGTCATGCTTTCACTTTCACAAAAACTGATAACCTCTATTTCATCTGCTGTTACTGATCCTTATATCTTTACTATATTATATTACACATTGAAAAGTTAAGAGAGAAAGATGGCGAGGGGTATGCTGTGTAAGTAGAGACTAGATTTTGTAGTGACAATAGACGGAAGACAGGTAAATGATGTGCAAGAGTTTGTCTACCTTGGCAGCAAGATCAGCAAAACTGGAGGCACAGAGGAGGACATACGTGCTAGAGTTAATAAAGCACGCTGCGCTTTCACAGTCCTGCGACCCATATGGAAAAGTTCGGCCATCTCCATTACCACAAAAATTAGGATATTTAACTCTAATGTCAAGGCAGTTCTGCTGTATGGAGCAGACACATGGAGAGACTCCAAGGCAAGCACAGCAAAGATACAGACCTTCATGAATAGATGCCTTAGACAGATACTGAAACTGAGATGGCAGGACAAAGTGCTGAACTTGGAACTATGGAGGAAAGCTAGGCAGGAGCCTATAGGTGTGCAAATAAGAAGGAGGAAGTGGCGCTGGGTGGGTCACACACTGCGAAAGGCTCACACAAATGTTACATGCCAAGCGCTAGAGTGGAACCCCCAGGGAAAGCGGAAGAGAGGGCGCCCAAGACAGACCTGGAGGCGGAGTCTTCTTGAAGAACTGAAGCCAACAGGGATGTCTTGGGAGATGTCAAATTTAATAGACGAGGATAGGAAGAAATGGAAGGAAATGGTGGAGGCCCTATGCTCCATAAGGAGCAAAGAGGACTAAGTCAAGTAAGTCAAGATTTTGTAGACAAGAAGTGTAGATCAGGCCTTGAACCACTTGAATACAATTAAATGTACACAACCCCTGTAAAACACATTTTATATTGTACATTTCATATTGAACAATTTAAAAGAGAATGATAAATAACAATGACCAGCTTTACACAAAATATCTGTAATAGAATAGTAATATACATTTAATTAAAGGCCAGGATCTATAGACCTTGGTCTAGGACTATTGAACACAAATTCATTTATTTTTATAGGCTCTAGTGTTAAGTCATAGTTTTCATTTTACCTTTTTTTTATACTAGGGGATCTGTAAATGCAATAAAAACCAGATATGACACACTTAAAAATTTTTTTTTTCAAAATGTCAAAAATGGATCATTCGGACCAATTCACTACCCTAGTTCTTGCTGTTTACATATGACATGATTACAAAACAGTATGGATAATAAGTAGTTAAATTGAAAGTAATTGCTGAGCAGGTATAGGTCTATGTTGAATTACATATTGAGTTTTTATGTAATTGGGATAGGCAAGAATGAGAACTCGTAGGTGCAGAAAAAGGTAATTGCTGTCTTGGTATAATGGACTCCAATATCATTTTAGATTTGTTAAAGGCATTAATCAAATCCTAGCTTCACAATAGCTGAATGAAATGTTCAAGAAGTAAGATTGAAGATGTAAGTGACGTTGAGCTTTTTTGATGATTTTTACTTCTCCCACCATGCCGTTATACATCATCACAAAAACCAGCCCACATAGTATATTAATCAATTTCTATTAGCAAAATACATTTTTTTAAAACGCAAAATAAAATCCTGAAACTATGAGCGTGATGTCGTCCTATATCTACCTGTCATCGAAGTGCCTTCCTCTCCTGTACCTGTCAGTGAAATGCTGTTCTTTACTCTTTGACCAGATGCTGCACTCTGCAGTGTGTACAGTGATGATATAAAATTGTGCACGTTTCTGGTATTGTAACTCGTTAACCATTGTATTGTCTGGTAAATAAATGCAGTGGCATTGATAAGTGAGGTGCCACATGGTGCGGCACGTCACCCCCCCTCCCCCACACCAAAAGGAAAAAAGTATAGCCTATACATACATCCATATATACATACACAAATATATATATATATATATATAATCATATATATATATGTATGTATATATATATATGTATGTATATATTTATATATATATATATATATATATATATATATATATATATATATATATATATATATATATATATATATATATATATATATATATATATATATATATACATATATATATATACCTACATAGGCCTATATATTTAGTTGCAATTGGATTTGGAGTCACCCCCTCTCCAATTTTGCCAAATAGCCTCAGTTTGTGAACATATTATTTTAATCCACCAATAATTCAAGTGGAAAAAGCAATGTTAGATATGGTGTCACCCCACCTCATTTTGTGACAGTGTGTGACGAGGGGGAGGGGGGGGGGCGGTTAAGATGGTGTGACATCACTTTTTTTGCATTATAAAAAAGCAATGTTAGAAAATTAGTTTTAGCCGTTATTTCGTGCTTTAAAAAAAAGTTTTAATAAAGTGTAATAGGAATTGATGAAAATACTCTATGTTGACAGAAAAATTCAACAGCAATTTCGAGGGGGGGGGGGGTTGTAGGCTGAGGTGTGATATCATTTAGGGGGGGGGGGGGTCTGACTTTTTGTGACGTGTGACGGAGGGGAGGGGGGGAGGTAAAAATCATCAAAAAAAAAGCGTGACGTCATGTATGGATGACCCTAATCAGTTATTGAAAAAATTTAAATAAACGTTCTTCCCTCTGTAAATTTTGCAGTTGGTGGACACTTTAAAGTGATCAATTATATCAGTAAATATGTTTATCTATAGTTGGTTACTAT